CACCAAACTTCATTCTTTTTCTTTGTTTTTTTGTCAAGTCACAATAATGCTGGTCTTGTTGTCTCTTGTACATGCATTCACCCAGGCTCAGCCTTCCTAGTATGTTATACCTTCATCAAATAAATGCTGTTATTTTAGAAGGTTTCAACTACAAATAAAGTGATCAGAAATTGGTAATTGGCCAATTTAACACAAAGTTCAAAATATTCCAATTTCAAAATAGGGCCAGAATAAACAGTGCAGACATTCCTGGCACTAAACTAACATTTTTCCCCTTGTTCATTAGTTACATTTTGAGGCTTTACAAAAAATTCCATTTTGATTTTTTATGCAAACCAATAAAATAGAAAATTTACTGTTATGCAATATTTTTAAAAATTGTATAAATATCATCACCACATTTGTGAATGTACATTAGCCCACCAGCTGGGTGTATTAGACGTGTGAGGTTGTTTGTTTACTCTTGAACATCGACAAAAATTTAATATTTCTGCTACTTTAAGCTCAGTTTCAGCCATTTCCCCGTGCTAAAACCAATCAAATTTATCTCTATTTCTGTAATATATCTTCCATTCTATCAAATGAGACCAAGAAATCGCAAATACAACATAAAAAAACATACGAAAAAACACGGCAAATTCGCTGTTTTAATCGAAAATTTACGGTCTCAGTTTTTTTTTTCTCTCAGATACACTGTGGCTGCAGGATTTGTTTTATGTGGTGCCCACAACCACATAGATGTAATTCTCTCATATCTAGACCCAAAATTTACCATTCACCCGCTTATCAGAGTTAGCTGAGCTCATGGCTAGATCTACGTTTGGACCCTGAATGTAAAGCCCCAGATCTACGGCCCCGGACCCTGGAAGGGTTAACACGGTAGGTACTTTCCTGAAAAAAGGCATGGGAGGTAAACCGTGTGGGGGTGAACTGAAGACCTTATGGAAAAAATAGGGTTACGTTCCTGAGAGCCCCAAAAAAGCCAAACAACTTTTTTTTTAGGCCTCCACATCTTTCAAAATAAAAATGAATATGTAATTGTAGTTCATTGTTTGTGATGTATTATGTTGTTTTTACCGCTTAAGACTACAAATGTAACAGAAATAATAGTACATGTATTTCTTACCTTAAATTGTGGGTGCTGGTGTTTGTGGATGATTGTGAAGAGAGTGGAGAGTTATACTGGGGCCCTACTGGGCTGAGGTGGATGGTAGAGGTCTGGTACTGGGAAATTGATGGTTGTACTGGAGTGTCTAAATTTAAGTCATTCAGCCAGTCAAGCCATTCAGTAAGTCAGTTAAATCATTCAGTAAGTCAGTCAGTAAATCATTCAAGTCATTCAGTAAGTCAGTCAAGTCATTCAGCAAGTCACTCAAGTCATTCAGTAAGTCAGTCAAGTCAGTCATTCAGTGAGTCAGTCAATCAAGTCAGTCCTTCAATAAGTCAGTCAAGTTAGTCATTCAGTAAGTCACTCATTCAGTAAGTCAATCAGTCATTCAGTAAGTCAATCAGTCATTCAGTAAGTCAATCAGTCATTCAGTAAGTCAGTCAGTCACACAAACTTATGTTTACCTCTTTTTATGTGTACAAAGTAAAACTTCATTATGGCCACAGGTTATGTCTTGTCAAATATCTTTGTTTATTTCATTAATTCTAAGACTTAAATGCTTATGCGTATCTTTTCTTTCCACTTTGAGCAACACTGGTATGCCTACTGGGTGTCATGATTGCTTGGTTTGATACAAAATATAGTAATTAACCCTTTGACTGTTTTCGGGCCGTATATATAAAATTTTACGAACCAGTGTTTCGGATGTATACATACTCAATAATTCAAGCGGCTTCAAATCAAGCAGGGGGAAAGCGGTAGACCCACATGTAGAGAATGGGTCTGTGTGGGCAGTGTGCACCTATAAAAAAAAATCCTGCAGCACACAGGCAAAAGGGAAAAAAAAAAAAAACTCCAACTGTTTTTTTTGGATTAAAAATCCGACTTTAGGTGTTTTCCTTTATTTTTTACGGTTGTTTTTCCTTTTCCCCCTTTGGTTTCATTTGATAGAAGGAAGAAATTTTACAAAAATAGGATGTTTTTGATAAGTTCACAAAAAAACGATTTTGAAATTAAGCTCAAAGAGCGGGAAAATTTCGATTTTTACCAATGTTCAGGAGTAAGAAATTAACCACACTCCAATACCGTCAACGGGGGAGTTTAATATTCTTTCACTAGTGCCTGATATTTTTATACCATTTTACAAAATGCAGTAGTCTGATAACAGAAATCTTCTATTTTTTTGTTAGAAAAAAAAAATAAAAATAAAAAGGCAAGAGTAATATCAGAGCAACCTGGAGATGTGACAAAATGAACAAGGATAATGTTTTTAGTCCCAAGAAGTCTGCATTGTTTATTTGAACCCTTTTTTTGAAATTGGCATTTTTTTTTAATTTGCATGAAATTTGGCCAAATTGCCAATTTCTGACCACTTTGTTGGAATTAAAATCGAAAAAAAAATGAGGTTTTTGTACTCAGTTGATAAAAAAAATGGAGTTCTAAAAAAATGCTATGATTTGGTCGACGGGAAACAATGGAAGGGTCAAAATGGGGCTAAAAGTCGGCAAAATTGCGATGCAAATATATCGCTGAGATAGCAACTTCGGGGGGAGTGTAATTCCGAAAGTTTTCGTCAAATTTTGTGTTTTGGTACATTACCATGGGGAAAAAAGATTTTTTGTCATTTCTAATTTTTGTTTTTTTCTTTTTTTCCTTCAACACCAAAGGAGACCTTCAGGATTTGGGGTTGCGACAGCCAAAGGGTTAAAAATCAAAAAAGCTTGTACAGAAAAGTTAGACGGAATGTATGAAGTACGAATCGGGGATGGTGGGGGGTGTGGGGGGGGGTGGTGGGGATGGCGGGAGGTTCCCCCAGCTGACCCACAACAAGGTGGCCATTGAGGAAAAAGGGAAGGTTTTCCCTTCCCACAAACTAAAACGTGTTAAATTAATTTTTTCAACATGTTACAAAAAATTGTGCCGCAATTCTTAATTGTACCATACCCAAAATCTGCCAAAAAAACTTGTGATAAATGACGGTTACTGCATGCAAAATTAAGAGGTTTTTTTTGGGCCACAGTAAACCTGGTGACTGAAACCGTGGAACCGAAAAGGGGAAAAGGTTTCCCAAATGTACAGTGGGGCCCCGCTTTACGGGGTTTCCCTTACGACGTTCCCCAATACGGACATTTCAAATTATGACCAAAACTCGCTTTACAGCTCCCCCCACCTGATTTTCTAATATGATCCCATGACCCCACCCGGTTTTTTTACATTCTCCCTAGCTCCCTGAGCACCCCCGTCCTCCATTATGTCTGGAAACTTTTCCAAATTTCAAAATGTTTTAAGTTTTTTCCTGTTTTATAATTGTATCTGATAATTATCATGGGACCTCGGTTATGAATTAATTCGTTCTAGAAAGGCGTTTGAGTGCCATACCAACGAATTTGTTCCCAAGGGAAAAATGTAAATTAGTTATCCATTTCAGGGCCCCAAAAATACACTTACAAAAAAAAACACTTAAAATTGTTCGATTTGGGACCTGTTCAAAACTCGAGGGACTACGTATTTGTGTACTTATACCCAAAAAAACTTACACACGTCGGCAAGCAGGTACACATTAAAATCATAAAAGTATTTATTAGTCTTGGGATGCCATATTAAAAATGATGATAATAAAGGTAAATCAATAATAATTACTCTGAGGTGCATGAAAGTTTTATAATTTTCGTTAATAAAACATTTTCATTAATCCGTCTAGATATTTTTTTAAAATTATATAAGCACACTAGTAACTATAACAAGAAAATACTCCCCCCTTGAAAAAATTAATAAATATGAGATTTATGGTTTAAAGAACGTTATGAACCAAAAACCAACGCTTCGCTGCTTGTTTACATACCCGGGCTCTCCCTCAATTTTTCCCTTCTCTCTCACGTTTAGATGTATATTTTTGCTCGTTTACTCGCCTCTCCCCCTTAATTAAGACTACAAATATTTTAAGGTAAGTAAAGATGTACTGTATACGCATTTTTATTGTCTGGGTGCTTTTTAAAATTTTTACATCACCATCACAATTCTGGCAAATTTATCCAGTTCCATCAGTAACTGGCACTAAATTCCAGCTAGCATAAATTTCAATTTCATCATTAACTGACTGAAATTTTTGCAGATGTTGTAAACCACACAGCAAGCGAGTGGAGGAGAAAGCTGATGAAAATGGGAAATGTAGCAGAAAAGTCTCTTTGATAGGTTATTAAGTGTATTCTAACCTTTCCACCTGTAATCCTAATCGGCACACTACGGCCCATGGGGCCGGGTAAGGTGATGGTTGACCTTAGTATTATATTACTTTTGGGGGGGGTGGCCGGGTGGTACCCTACCTTCTACCTTTACTTTTACAATAAATACTACTTACCTCTCACCCTACATTAAGACTACAAATATTTTAAGATAAGTATGTAATGAATACTGTGTGTGTATTTTACTTTTATTGTTTTTAATGTCTAGTTCTATTTCTAACTTAATATATGTTAGTGTTAACATGTTATCTGGCATTTATATGCATTTATAATTGGAAACAATGGAATTCTGCTTTCCAGCAGTAGCCTGGAACCTAACCTGCCATATAAGTGGTGCCCTACTGTATATGTACAGTATTTAGAAACTGGCAATGCTATAGGTATGTGTAATGCTATAGGCATGAACCTACAAACTCCGACAAGGGAGCAGTGAGTATATGGACTCAGCTGTATTGCTATATGATAGTTTCCCATAGCCTGACTGGCTGATTGAGGATAAAGGATCAAACCTCCACCACTCCTTATGCTGAATGACCCCTACAGATTTAGTGCTGCACTCAAAGAGAATTAAGAAACTGGCATATATACTCATGTCTAATTTTATCATTCATGTTCTATACCAAAGTCATTTAATTCATTTGTTTTTCAAGGAACGTGTTCCAAAGGTCCCAGCACCATGAATGAAACGTCAATGAAGCTGGCTGAACGTATGGTTTCAGTCACTTACTTGCAACAGGCTGCAGAGGCAAGAGCAGCACACGAGAAGAAGATCAAGATTCTTATAGAGCAGGTGTGTCCATGGTAGAATTGCAAGCTGATTCTAAGGTTTTATGCTGACTTTAGACTTAGGAATAGTTGATCACCAAATAAGACTTACACTCACTGCACATATACTGTATGTACACATTTGATAACTCACTGGCCTAAGTAAGTGAGTTGTCCCTTTGTAAATGTTACTTTCTTATTTACCCTCAAACGAAACCAATAGTGAGATGTTTGTTTGTCAAAACAGGGCAAGTGTCCCATAGATGGCTGGGATGATGCCACCATAGAGCTCCTAGTGAATGACTTTGCTCTGATGGACAGCAATAATTTTCGCCACAACAGCGGCGTCGGTGAGAGAGAGGCAAAAATATTTTCAGGTGGGCAGTTTGAGAAAAAGCATTAAAAACCTACAGCAAGGGCAGCAACTATTTTCATTTAGCTATCTCTCTTCTTTGTATTAATACATACTTAAAATTATACTACTGTTCACTTAACTACATCACTTTTGTAAAGTAAAAGGACACAGTGCAACTAATGTGACATTTTTATTGTGGCAATGTTTCGCTCTCCAGGAGCTTTGTCAAGCCTAGAGAGCGAAACGTTGCCACAATAAAAATGTCACATTAGTTGCACTTGTGTCCTTTTACTTTACATATTGTCGGTAATTCTGCCAACTTTATTACATCACTTTTCTACATTCAAGAAAAAAAACTGTCTGGTTATTAAGTAGTCTGAAAGCATTAAGATTTGTTTGTCTAAAATGCGCCACATACGAGTGGTTTTCTATTGTGTATAACAGTATTTTATAACATGTAAATTATACATTGTATACTATGAAAAAGTTATTTGTTAGTTTATGGAGTTTCTCTCATGAGTGAGGGTTTTGGTGAGTTGTTCCAGCCACAGTTTTGTGAGTTTTTAAAAATTTAAAAACAATTCTATGTCATGAACGACTCTTCCCGAGTGGAGGTGGCACCTCATTGCTGGTGAAGGGCTCTTGATACTAGAAGTTGGAGCTTCCCTCTCCATCCTTGGAGCTTCCCTCTCCATCCTTGGATCAAATCTGATTACGGTGGAACCTCGGCATACGAGTGCCCCACCATATGAGTTTTTCAGCAGTCGCTCGGTCAAGTAAAAATTCAGGATGCGAGCTTCCCCCTCAAACAACTTTTTTAGACTTTCAGGTCGTATATAATTGTAGCTCATTGTCATTATGCATTATGTAGTTTTTACTGCTTAAGACTATAACTGCAACAGAAATAATAGTATTTCTTGCCTTAAATTGTGGGTGCTGGTATTTGTGGATGATTGTGAAGAGAGTGGAGAGTTATGGTGTGGCCCTACTGGTCTGAGGTGGATGGTAGAGGTACAGGTCCACCATCACAAATCCGGCAATCAGACATCCGGTTCCATCAGTTATTCAGCACTAATTTTGGCTACTATAATTTCAAATTTCCAGGGTCACCACACCGACCTGCTGGTACTGTTTGGTGGCAGTACTTGCTGCATAAGTCATTCCAATTTCTTTTTCTCCATTTATTATTATAACCTGCTTGCTTTTAGCCCTAGCCATGGTTCCAATGAATAAAAGAAATGCTTTTCGTTGTGTAAAGCACCTACATAGTACATTGTCCATTAAAAATAAGGTAACTTTGAAGCCACTGTTGGTTGTCATGAGCTCAGTCTCGTGATGCAGGGGAATATGCTTTATTATTATGCTAATATCAATGCTACAGCTTATTTGCCTATCACAGTTGATCTAATATGACATAATAAACAATATAAATAACATAAAAACATGTTAAATACTCCAGAATGAATAATATTTTGCATAATACCGAGCAATTTGACGGAAGTATGAAGAGGATATGGGATACAAGTACCATTCTCCTATCCCTGTCTTGGGGGCTTATATTAGAGAAAATGGAGTATAGCACATGGGTAACTGTGATATAAACTCATACTGCACCAAAAAACTGAAACCAAAAAGCTGTTTTCTCTACATAGATTATCACACATAGCAGCATATGTGTAGAGAACCTAGGATAACCCAAAAAAGTCAAAGTGGCTTATTTTTAGTACCTGGCTATCTATGTTCACCCATCAGTAAATAGGTACCTGGGTGTTAGTGGACTGATGTGGGCCTTATCCAGGGACACTGACCTAATTTGAACATAACATAAGAATGGAGGAACACTGCAGAAGGCCTACTGGCCCATACAAGGAAGGTCCTTATCAAAATGACCTCTACCCAAATCTACCCAAGAATTTACTCCCGTACCCAATGACACAAATCAAATCCAGCCCCTCCCAACATATATTTGTTCAATCTTTTTTAAAAATTGCCCAAAGTCCTAGCCTCGATCATCTTACTGGGAAGATTGTTCCACGCATCCACAACTCTGTTAGAAAACCAGTACTTACCTATGACCTTTCTAAATCTAAATTTATCCAACTTAATTCCATTATTTCTGGTTCTTACCTGGTTCGACACCCTCAGTACTTTATTAATATCTCCTTTGTTTATGCCCGTCACCCACTTATACACTTCAGTAATATCTCCCCTCATTCTACATCTCTCCAGAGAGTGGAGATTTAAGGCTTTAAGTCTATCGTCATATGGGAGAGTCCTTACAAAATAAATCATTTTAGTCATTCTTCTCTGTATGTTCTCCAATGAGTCTATATCCATCCTGTAGTAAGGAGACCAAAACTGAGTGGCATAATCTAAATGAGGCCTCACCAGTGATGTATAGAGTTGTAAATAACTTTTGGACTTCTGTTACTTATACTTTTTGAGATAAATCCAAGTAATCTGTTAGCCTTGTTGCACACACTTAGGCACTGCTGTCTTGGCTCTAGATTTCTGCTTACCATGACTCTCAAGTCTTTTTCACATTCTGTATGATCAAGTTCTACTTCACCTAGTTTATAGTTTTGAGTGTTTCCTTCATTACTAAAGACTAGTACCTTACACTTATCCACGTTGAACTTCATCTGCCATTTTTCAGACCAAGACATTAATTTGTCCAAATCCTCCTGCAGTTCATTGCTATCCTCCTCAGAATGAATCATACTGCCTATCTTTGTATCATCAGCAAATTTGCTCATGTCACTCATGATCCCTTCATCAAGATCATTAATGTAAATTATGAACAAGAGAGGGCCTAAAACTGATCCTTGTGGAATGCCACTAGTGACTAGTCCCCATTCAGGTTTGACCCCATTAATGGAAACTCTGCTTTCCATTGGTAAATCATGCCTCTATTCATGCTAGAACTTTACCTCCTATACCATGAGCTGCCAATTTTCTTAAGAGTCTCTTGTGAGGTACTCTTTCGAAGGCTTTACTAAAATCCAAATAAACAATATCATATTCTTTATTACTGTCAACTGCCTCAAATGTTCTATTGAAGAACGTCAGTAAATTTGTCAAGCAGGAGCAACCTCTCATGAACCCATGCTGAGATTCATTAATCAAATTATGCTCTTCAAGGTGACTTCTAATAATGTCACCTATAATTGATTCTAATAACTTGCCCACTATAGATGTCAGGCTTATTGGATGGTAATTTGAAGGAACGGACTTATCCCCTGATTTGAATATAGGAACCACATTAGCCATCTTCCACAACTCTGGCACAACACCAGTAAGGATGGACGCATTAAACACACTCGTTAATGGCTGACTAAGTTCCATCTTGCATTCCTTAAGTACCCTGGAAAACAACTCGTCGGGCCCCGGGGACTTATTTTGCTTCAGTTTGTCTATCTGTTTGATAACCATGTCCCTCGTGACAGTAATATTAGTTAATTTGAATTTTTCAGGGACTGAATAATTGTTAATTTCTGGAATCTCATTTATGTCTTCCTGTGTAAAAACTGACAAAAAATACTCATTAAATAATGAACACATTTCCAGTTCGTTATCCGTCAGCTGTCCAGTCCCAATTTTCAGAGGTCTTACTTTTTCCTTCACCTCCGTCCTATACACTTGAAAGAACCCCTTTAGATTGGTCTTTGATTCATTAGCAACTCTAATTTCATAGTCACGTTTAGCCTTTCTAATCCCCTTTTTTACTTCTCTTTTAAGCTGAACATATTGATCAGTAAGGTTAACCTCTCCTCGGAAAAGGAGAGGTTAACCTTATATAGTAGTACTGTATATCACTGATGTCATCTATGGTCTGTACCTGTAATAACGTTGGTAGAATTACTGACAATATGTAAAGTAAAAGGACACAAGTGCAACTAATGTGACATTTTTATTGTGGCAACATTCGCTCTCCAGGAGCTTGTCAAGCCGTTACAAACAGTACATGGACACAGAGGGTATATATAGGCTCAGAGTGAGGTGCAATACTAGTGGTGGTAGTAGTAGTAGTAGTAGTGACATAAGTTGTAGTAGTAGTAGTAGTAGTAGTAGTAGTAGTAGTAGTAGTAGTAGTAGTAGTAATAAGAACATAAGAATGGAGGAACACTGCAGAAGGCCTACTGACCCATGCGAGGCAGGTCCTTACCAAAACGACTACTACCTAAAGCTTCCCAAGAAATAACTCCCGTACCCAATGACAGTAATCAAACCCAGCCCCTCCCACTCATATATTTGTCCAGTCTCATCTTAAAGCTACCCAAGGTCCTAGCCTCTATCACCCCACTGGGAAGACTGTTCCATGCATCTACAACTCTGTTAGAAAACCAGTACTTACCTATGTCCTTTCTAAATCTAAATTTATCCAACTTAAATCCATTATTCCTGGTTCTTACCTGGTTCGACACCCTCAGTACTTTATTAATATCTCCCTTGTTTATGCCCGTCATCCACTTATACACTTCAATGATATCTCCCCTCATTCTACGCCTCTCCAGAGAGTGGAGATTTAAGGCTTTGAGTCTATCTTCATACGGGAGGTTCCTTACACAGTAAACCATTTTAGTCATTCTTCTCTGTATGTTCTCTAATGAGTCTATATCCATACTGTAGTAAGGGGACCAAAACTGAGCAGCATAATCTAAATGAGGCCTCACTAGTGATGTATAGAGCTGTAAAATAACTTTTGGACTTCTGTTACTTATACTTCTTGAGATAAATCCAAGTAATCTGTTGGCCTTGTTGCGCACACTAAGGCACTGCTGTCTTGGCTTTAGATTTCTGCTTACCATGACTCCCAAGTCTTTTTCACATTCTGTATGACCAAGCTCTACTTCACCTAGATTATAGCTTCGAGGGTTATTTTCATTACCAAGGGCAAGTACCTTACACTTATCCACATTGAACTTCATCTGCCATTTTTCAGACCAAGACATTAATTTGTCCAAATCGTAATAATAATGCAATATGGTAGAACAATTAACTCGCACACGAGTAAAAGGATAT